ACCTAAACTTGATCCTGAAGTCATAAAACTAAGGCATGTAATGTTAGCACACTCAGTCTTTTTGTACTTTGTATTTATTTACCAACCCAAAAGGCTTATCTTTGATTCAAATTCCAAATTTACAGGGCTTGCAGTAGCTCTAAAAACATTTTTGCTAGAAATTATTTTTGGAAACTTTGATACAAGTAATGTTTGAAAGTATAGGTATAGCTTGATTTCTATAAGAGGCATATTCCTGAGAAGTTGCAAGATAAGACAATATAATATTTTAAGTGAATTGTTCCCTTATCTTTTTAGCAAGAGGTTGAAAAACAGACTGGAGTCAATAATCTTCGATGTTGAACATTACAGATTTGTAGCGTGATCAAGAAAATCTAACTTAGCCACTTTAGAGACCATCAGTTAATAAAGATGTTCTACCATTAATACCTTGAGTGCTTATTGAATGCCAGGCACTGAGCAAAGGGATTTATGGGTATTGTTAATTCCTTCATTGACTTAATCAACTATTGTACAACAGCTGTGTCCCAGGCACAGCTCTGTCACAAGACAGGCCATGTCCCTACCCACATTGACCTTTCATTCTACTGGTAGACAAATATTTGAATAAATAGATAATGCTTCGGGTATTGATAGATCTTCTTATAAGGAAATCAAACATCTTAAGAGAGTCAGACTAAGTTAGAGATGCTATTTAGATAGTCCAGCAAAGGCTACTCTGAGAGAGTAAGCAGAGATCTGAATGAAGCAAAGGAAAAAGCAATGCAAGGACTTCAGGGCAAAATTCTTCTAAGTAGGAAAAAGGGCAAAGGCAGAATCTTAGAGGTAAGTATGAGGTTAGCCCACTTAGAAAGTGTTGAGATGACCACTGTGGCCAGAACAAGGTGAGATAGAACAGTAAGAGAGGAGTCAGGAGCCAGGTCATATAAGGTTTTATAGTCCATGAAAAGGATTTCAGACAGTACAGCTTTATGCCATTATTGTCTGCATTTGCACATGAGAAGTTGAGGCTTAGAGTGTCAGTAAACATCCCCGGGTTCATACACCTAGGGGAGTTTGAACCCATTTTTGGTATGAATCCAAATCTTGTACTCCTTCCTAGTATATCAGGTTGTCTCTCACTGACTAGTCTGGTTACCCTTTTAAAAACCCTGAATTCAGTGGACCTTCTAATTAAATGTTCTCAATAGTAAAAGAAAATCAGTGGATACATATTTGAAACTGGGTTCTGTATATAAAGGAGAGAGGCAAGCTGTGTATATGCCATATCATGTAATATTGAATGCACATGAAATATTGTGGTTTAGAACAGTAATTTTTATTTTATTATTTTTTAAAAGATTTTATTTATTTGAGAGAGTGAGCGAGAGAGCACGAGCAGAGGGGAGAGGCAGAGGGAGAGGAAGAAGCAGACTCCTCGCTGTGCAGGGAGCCTGAGCGACTCGATCCCAGGACCCTGGGATCATGACCTGAGCTGAAGGCAGACGCTTAACTGACTGAGCCACCCAGGTGCCCTAGAATAGTAATTTTTAATGCTTTTTGATGATTCAACATTTGAAACCCAGAATTAATGAAGAGAGCCAATCATTAAAGGCACACTGGTTGAAAAACCATTAGGTACAAAAAAGAAAATGCAATATGCTCAAAATGAACTTCTAGCCAAGATATAAACCACTTCATAAGTAACATATTAAAAAAAACCTTGAAATAATGCATTGTTTATATAAAAAAGGGATAGTGTTGCCTTATATAATTACATATGTCTGCTTATTTAAAGGATAAGGGAATTCAGGCGTGCCCGGCTGGCTCAGTCGGCAGAGCATGCAACTCTTGATCTCGGGGTCATAAATTCAAGCCCCACGTTCAGGGTAGAGATTACTTTAAATAAAAAGGAATAAGGGAATTCATATTTTTATACTGAGGTCTGTAAACAAAATGATAAAGCGGTATTCTGAGGAAATGGTCCGTTATAAACTGAATGATAAGCTGGCAGTTTAAACGGTTATAATTACAAAGTAATGTTATCCACTAAAGTCATTAGAGAACATTTAGGATAAAATGAAAAGTATACCACTCTGAAGACAAAAAGTAGAATTGGAGATTCTGAAGATTTTATTGAGTTATAAATTGTAAAATTTAAATAATGAACTACATCATTTAAAAACATTCTTTTAAAAATGAATATTTTTCTCTTATGAAATATGACCTTTATACACATAATTGGCCATTTTTTTTGTTTCAAGTTTTTATTTAAATTCTGGTTAACATTCAGTGTAATATTAGTTTCAGGAGTAGAATTCAGTGATTCATTACTAACATACAATACCCAGTGCTTATCACAAGGGCCCTCCATAATCCCCATCACCCATTTAACCCATCCCCCATCCTCCTTCCCTCCAGCAACCCTCAGTTTGTTCTCTATAGTTAAGAGTCTGTTTTATGGTTTGCCTCCCTTTTTTCCCCCTATGTTCTTCTGTTTTATTTCTTAAATTCCACAGATGAGTGAAATCATATGGTATTTGTCTTTGACTTATTTTGCTTAGCATAATACTCTCTAGCTCCATCCACATCATCATAAATGGCAAGATTTCATTCTTTTGATGGCTGCATAATATTCCATTGTGTATATATTACCACCTCTTCATTATCCATTCATCAGCCAATGGACATTTGGGCTTTTCCCATATTTTGGCTATTGTGGTTAGTACTGCTATAAACATTGGGGTGCATGTGCCCCTTCGAATAACTATATTTGTATCCTTTGGATAAGTACCTTGTAGTGCAATTACTGGGTTCTACTTTCTAAAAGCAATTACTTTTTTGAGGAAACTCCATTCTGTTTTCCAGAGTGGCTGCACCAGTTTGCATTATGGGTGTCTCTTCAGTATAGTTATAAGGGTATTTTCTCTTTATTTTAAAATTAATGTCCAAAATTAAGCCAATATTTCAGAAAACATCTTAAGGAATAAATATGTGTAAAACAAGTGATAACAATGATTCTCCATAAGTAGTTTTTATTTATAAATTAAGTGGGACAGTAATTAAGAGATGTTCAATAGATTTTGCATAGTTTTTCCCAGAAAAGAATTATTAGAGCTATTGTTCAAATGGTGTAATCTCCTATTGTGATTCAGTTAATGAACAATAAGCATTATTTTAAAAATCATGAATATGCACTAAAGCAATTTTTCTGACATTGGGTTTTTATCTGGTTAGAATAACACATTACTATAATTTCTCTCCAACTGGGATATAGTTTTAATGAGGAGTTGGTCAGTGCCAAATCACACATAATTTGAATGAAAAGAATGGATAAATTCATAAATATTTCCATGACCACAATGGTAACTGTTTAAAGTGAATTCTTGGACAGTAAGAATGGTCTTACTTCAATCCTATTTTTCCCCAAAAGCAAAGTGAAGTGTTTTTTGATAAGAGAGAAATTTATGAAGTCCCAGTATTTTTCTGCTATTCATAAGATTAACATCTTCCCTTTGATTGAGTTGCTTATACATAAAACTGGAGACACAATGTATACCTCAGCTGTTAATGTTTTAGGACAGGGACTTGCCAAATTAATCTTTGTGTCTTCAGTTTATAATCAAGAATGAATGCGTTAGGGCGCCTGGGTGGCTCAGTTGGTTAAGCGACTGCCCTCGGCTCAGGTCATGATCCTGGAGTCCCAGGATCGAGCCCCACATCGGGCTCCCTGCTCAGCAGGGAGTCTGCTTCTCCCTCTGACCCTCTTCCCTCTCGTGCTCTCTATCTCTCATTCTCTCTCTCTCAAATAATAAATAAAATCTTAAAAAAAAAGAATGAATGCATTAATGAAATAAAAGAATAGATAACATTACAATTATTTTTAAAATTAAGAGTAAAGTTCAAATTTTATGTTGGAAGGAATTAGCTCTAGCCAATGTTATAATATTATGCATACATCATTTAATTCTTTTAGTTATAACATCAGACTTGTAGATCAGTAATAAAATTTTTTAATGTACCAACTATTCCTCCAGGTTACCCATATATTAGGTGATACATGGCAAAATAAGTTTAAGTTCTCCCAAGTTATTTGCAAGCTGTGAACTATTACTTAAGTGAGCAGTGACATCTGAGGGAGGCCTTTACAAACATTCATTCTTAGTGAGAATTGCATGTAATGTTTTTCTAGTTGTTATACATTCATGAGTCTCACTATAAACTGATTGTCTCTCACACAATATCTGGTATAGGATAATATATTTTCTTTTTGAACTGCTTTTGGTTTTTGTTAGTAACTTTTACCTTTAAACTGTAATCTCTAGAAAGGCATGAATTGTCCAATTTTTAAAAAAGCTACCAAAACTCTGGACATAATACTACATTGGACCAGATATGATTTTTCTTTAGAATTTTTGTTTTACTTTGGGGTAGGTACTGCATAGCTAGCCTTTGGAAATGCTAAAAGAAATAGCTGTACAAGTCCCTTAAAGTATCCAAGACTCTAAGTGAATATTCCTCCTGTTTTATTTTATTCTTGAGTGCCTCATTTGGGACACTAACCATTAAATTCAGAATTAGCATAGACATGTGTTGTACCAACATTATGAGTTACAGACTATTGAAGGTTTTATGAACCTTCAGAGCTGTAGAACAGATATTTCTTACAACATTATAGTATCCTTTGATAAGCTTTAGGGTCTTTATTAATTAAAAATGTGAACAATCATTCTATAATTGAAACTTTATCCAAAATATTAGGAAGATTTCATTATCTAAGAGTTTGTCTTTTTTTTTTTAAGCTGTAAAGCATATTTGGTTTTAAGAACAGACAACTTTGTTTCATAGGTACATGATTTCTTGCTATCACATACATACACAGCCTATTACATAAAAAGCAATTACACATTTACAGCCCCCATCTATAGCTGAAAAAAAAAAGTCAACTATTTAAAATTCATTAACTTAGAATTGTGTTTTTTTACCCCAGTGAATTAACTTCTCTTTGTATTTTTTGACAGGAAGAAGCACTGCATGGTTTTCGAGTGAGTGATTACCTTGAATACATGGAGATTTTAGAACAAAACTACCGACCAGTGGTGCTGAGAGACATGAGGAACGTTAGAGTGCAGAGCACATAGACAGTGGAGTGCACAGTTAAATGTCGTGTTTTATTTATTTGTAAAGGAAACAGAGGGACTTGATTGTTTTCTGTGTCTATAACAACATATGCTTTGTGAATATACATATTGTGAATCAATACTGGGACTTTTTCAATATAATAATATATATTCAAGTAGGAATTATCTCAATTTGTGACATAAAGTAAATTCATTTTTGTTAAGTTCATTGTTCCATGAGGTTGTTTTAGAATCAGATCTAATTTACTTACAGTTCTTTATGTTTAAGAGCTAGTCCCAACCGACATTTCTTTCTTCACCAGAAGATTAAAGTATTATTTTTCCAAATGAGTTTTGAAAGAAGCATCAATATTATAATCGTTTGACTAGCCAAAGAGTCCGCAGAAACAAGGAAGACATTTGTTTTCTTCATGTTTTGTCTGCACATATAAAGGAAAATAGACAAAGCCACAATTACTGATTTTACATATGGAGGAAATAAATGATATTTAACATGGCAAATGCTAAGAAGACTATTGTTCTCAGACATAATTGTTTTTCTAGGAATTGCTTTTGGTACCTATATCAGCTTATAATTTTTCATGTGAAATGTAGGCTCTACATGGTTCATTTAAAAGAAAGATTAGTTATTTCATACTGATAAGCATTTGACTTTCATTTATTATGCATTTTTCTTAGTGATAAATTTTATTTGTACTGAACTTAAAAACATTAAGGAGAATAATTTCTAAATTATTTTAAATGACTAACACAGTGTTTTATTTAAATAGAAGGCTTTGCTCCAATGAGATTAATATAATATGCTAAGGTCTATTTTCTTATAACTGTCACATTTAATATATGAAAAATAATACACAAAAATATTTTTCAGTTAGCAATTTTAACAAGTTCTTGTAAATTATAGGTAGTAGTCATTTTGTATGCATTACTTATATTTAAATATAAATCAACTATTAAAACCATTTTGAAGCCTTTTTTTTTTAAACCCAAAATATAGCTCATCCACAAACTCATTTTTCGTTTCAGTATCATGAAACAACCGGCACCATACAATTTTCAGTTTTGTGATATTTAGGCTATTCTAATATCAACCTTCCAAAATTAGGTTTTATGCTGTAAATGCTAACAGTAGCTGCTCAGTAATGGTATATAGGGCACTATATGTAATGCTCATAAAGGGCACTGAAAAAGTTGAGAAAAGAAAATTGAGCAAGTTAATTTGACATATTGCTCCCTTTAGCTCTGGTTGATAGGAGTTAAGTAAGAGAGTCCTAGGTTACTCAAAATACCAAGCTCTGTCTACTTTCAAACTTAATTTTGGAAAGCTGTAATACATGTTTATGGTTTCCTTTCTTCCTATTCTGCTCCTGAGTTACTGTTATTGATACTAAGAAATTGCAGCTTTATTTCCTTTTTTAAAAGCTCTTACATGGTAATTGGAAATACAAATGGAGAAGGAACTTTAACTTAGTTTTATAATATTCATTGATGATTTTGATTGGAAACTGAAGTAAATCTAGATAATAACAGTTACATTTTAGAAAAGTGAATTCAGCTGGAGCCAGAAGGTGTTTGTTTTCATTTGTTAAATAAATGTTTTATGAACAATAACCTAGCAATTTGGTGAAATAAAATGTAAAATATGGTAGTTTACGTAGCTAGCATTGTAAATTATTTTTGTACCTATTATTTTAAGAATACTCTTTAGAATAGAAATAAATACAACCTGCCTTGCCTTTCAGTTTTGTTTTTAATTATTTAAAGTATAAGTCCTTAGGACGGACTTTATTTCTACTTTGTGAATGGGTACCTCATACATTTTACAGGATTCATTATAAGAAACTATATTTTATGATAACAATATAAACAAATTTGTCAAAAATTAAGCGCTCATATATAAATCTTTGAATATCTGTTTTCAAAATTTCATCTCTATAGTTATGCATAAGCATCTAAGAAATCTGTGAAGGTAAAATAAATCTCAGAAATTAATCTAACCTTAACAGAATTCTACCCAAATTTATGATTATTAAATTATGGCATGCTCTAGTTTGATTTTTCAATTCCAAGATGTTAAAGACATTTCTTTGGTTATTCATTAAACAGACATGTTTTGAGGGTTGCACATATAATGAAATATTTTTGATATTCAGGATAGGATAAATGAAATAACAACACTGCCACTCACAGAATCCACAGTGAGAGATGAATAATTTTAAACTCTGAAAATGTAGTTTTAAAGATGACAGGAATTGATCTCTGGATTTGGTGGCTTTGATAAAAGCAGTTTTGATGGAGTAGTGAAGTTTGTTTGGAGCAGGGTTAATGATGCTGAGAGGAGAGACTGGAGACTGATCCTTCTAGGAGCATTGCTGAATAGGGAAAGAGAGTATGGGTGGTAGCTAGAGGAGGCCTGGAGTCAAAAGACTTTTTTAAAATGGAAAATGGAAGCATGTTTATATGTGAGTGGAAATGATGCAGTAGAGAAAGAAAAACATGCTGAAGAGAAAAATGCTGGAGTGAATGTCATAAGACTCATTGTAGGAATGAAAACGGCAATAGCCATAGTTTAGTTTTTGTTTTGTTTTTTTCTTTTTCAAATTAAGTTAAACACACACTTCACTATGTGACTCATCAATATTCCTTCTAGGCATTTCCCCCAAAGAAATAAAAGATATGTCCATACAAAGGCATGCATGAATAATATAACTTTATTCATCATGGTTCAAAACTGGAAACAACACAAACCTTAACTGGTGAATGGATAAACAAATGTAGTTCATTCCATAAAATGGAATACAACTCAGCATTAAAAAGTGCCACCTACTGATGCACACAAAAGTATACATATTGTAGGATTCCATTTACATGATGTTCTAGAAAAGGTATATCTATAGTGACAAAATGTTACTGGTTTCCAGGGCCTAAACTGGGGGTGGGTGTGAAGAAAAGGGATTTTCTGTATAGAGGCAGAGGGGAGATCTATGTCATGATTGTAGTGATGGCTACATGACTACATTTTTTAAAAGTACTGTGAAATGTACGCTTAGAATAGGTGAATTTTAAGTTTCACCTCAATAAAGCTGATTATCAAAAGATAAATACTGCAAAGAGAAATTGACGAATCCCTTATAATGGAAGTGTTTCAACACTAGCAATTATGTTAGCTGTAGGTTACTTGTGGATGCCTTAAACAAGTTGAGGAAAATCCTTTCCATTCCTATTTTGGTGAGAGTTTCAGGAATAGAATTTCTGTTTGGAAATGATTTTATCGAATACTTTATGTGAAAGTAATATTTGCATGAATTTCCCCCTTTTTTGGTCTGTTGATATGGTAACTTCCCAACATTTCCAATTTTAGTATATGTGCTGCCGAAGCGAGCACAACTTCCCAACATTTCTAATGCTAAACCAACCTTGCATTCCTAAGATTAACTCTACTTAGTCATAATATTTTATCATTTTTACATATTGTCATATTTGATTTGTTAAAATTTTGTTAGGGATTTTTATGTCTATGTTCATAAGTGATATTGATCTGTAGTTTTCTTTTTCTGATTTTGATATCATGGTAATGCTGGCTTCATAAAATGAGAAGTGTTCATCTGTTTTCTAGAAGTCTGTATAAAATGGTATATTTTTTCCTTCAACATTTGGTAGAATTTCCCAGTGAAGCCTGGAATTTTCTTTGTGATAAGATTTTTTACAAAAAAAAAATTCAACTTCTCTAATGGATACGTAGCTATTCAACATATTTATTCTTAAGTGAACTTTGGTAATTTCTTTTAAGGAATTTCTCCATTTTATCAAATTTTCAAATTTATAGGCATTGAGCTGTTCATAATATTACTTTGTTACCTTTTAATATGTGTAGAATTTGTGGTGATGTCATTGCTCTTCGTTTTGGTATTGTTCATTTGTATCTTTTGTTTTTTCTTGATCTGTCTGGCTAGAAGTTTATGAATGTTCTCAAAGAACTAGCTTTTAGTTTCAACAATTTCTCTTTTTCAGTTTTCTGTTCCATTGATTTCCACTCAGAACTTTATTTCCTTCTACTTACTTTCAGTTTCATTTGCTCGTGTTTTTCTAGTTTCTTAAAGTCATTTATTCGAGACCCTTCTTGTCTAGTATGAGTGTTCAGTGCTATGAAATTCCCAGTAAGTACTGCCTTAGTTGCATCCACAAATCTTGACATTTTATATAGTCGGGAATACTTTATATTTTACCTTCTGATTTTCTGTTTGATACATAGGTTATTTAGAGATGTGTAATTTAGTTCCCAAATATTTTGGGATTTTTCCAGGTATATAGTTGGACAACACAGATTTGAGCTGCGCAGGTTCATTTATAGTTTTTTTTACAGTGCAGTCCTGTAGATGTATTTTCTCTTCCTTATGACTTAACATTTTTCCGTCTAGCTTAGTTTATTATAAGAATATATAATACATAAAATATCCAAAAATGTATGTATTAATTGACTGTTATCAGTAAGGCTTCCAGTAAACAGTAGGCTATTGGTAGTCACGTTTTTGAGCAAGTCAGAAGTTATACGTGGATCTTCCACTATGGGGAGTGGGAGTGTCAGCTCCCCTAAACACCATGTTGTTCAAGGGTCAGCTGTATTTCTGTTACTGATTTCTAGCTTAATTTCATTGTGGCTAGAACATTCTTTATGTTAATCCTTTTAAATTTATTAAAAATTGTTTTATGTCCCAGATTATCTACCCGTAAATGCTTTTCATGTAACTTAAAAAATATATATATTTTGCTGTTTTTGTGTGGAGTGGTCTGTGCATCTCAGATCAGTTGTTTGGTATTGTTTGTCTTGTGTATCTTTAATGACCTTTCTCTCTACTTGTTTTAGCTACTGTGAGAGTAATTTTGAAATTAACTGTAATTGTGGATTTTCTGTTTCTCCTTTCAGTTCAGTTTTTCCTTCATGCATTTTGAAGTTCAATTATTAGGTGTATAAATTTTATGATTGTTGTATACCTTTGATG